GCGGGCGTAGGAAGTGCTCCAGTTCTCTTAGACGCTCAACCTCCTGCTGTTGGGGGATGTGGGAAGAGAAGAGGTCTTTGTAAAAGGATCTGGCGATCCTTACATAATGAGGTGTGGTGGTAGCTAATTCGTCTGTCACTGGGTCCAAAAAGGCGTCAGTAGTGGTGCGGTGTGCTCTTAGAGAAGCCATACTAAAAAATTGAGAGTCCATAGTTCCTTCGGTCGTCCATTTCGCTAAGTTGCCACGAATCCTTATTCCTTGCCATCTGTGTTGTGCTAGTTGAAGAAACTGGTCTTGCAAATTTTGAATATCTGTGGTGAGATCGTTAGAGTTGTCCTGGATGACCAGGTTATGAAGCCTTCTATGAACATCCATTTCATGTGCATGTCTTCGACTTGCCGACAACTTGGAAAATTCTTTGCATTTCTTGGCTAGGAAAAAGAGTCCATTGGTGAACCATTGGACTACCGAGTCAAAGGAGTGTTTCTGGTCTCTCCAAAAGTTCAAGACATCGCGAATGTATGCGTGAAACGATTTGTCCTTGAGGAGGGATGTGTTAAGCTTGTAATATCCAGACCCTTGGCCCAACCGTTTGCGGAAGGAAAAGATGGCTCCGCATAAGCGGTGATCCAGACCGGGGTGGGGGCTTTGTGGGAAAATAGTGGCTAGCTGTAGGGCATTTTGTATCTCCTGCGAGAGTAGAATCAAGTCTATCCGTGATTTTGCGTGTCTGGCTTGGTCATTGGTGCGGTAGCACGTATACGCCTTTCCTGCCGTGTGCAAGTGTCGGTATGCGTCCACCAGGCTCAGGGATTCACAAAGGTCTGCTAGAATTCTTTCATCTCTTTCCACGTAGCATGGGCAGGGATCCGGAGAGCCCCATCAGTCCATCCTTCCATTTGGAACAACGTTGAAATTGCCCCACCTTAACTTCCCTTATAGAAATCATCTTTTGCCCTTAAGCCCTAAATCCTCATCAGTGGTACTTTGAACCCCGCTTTTGATCCGGTAACCCGATCGTGTTTTAATTCTGCCACTATTCCGCTGTTTCCCGTCTTTGTGGAGCGTCTGCCTTAAATTTTGCTGCTTGCATATAGCATTTCTCCTAGAGTGGGCATGTTCACTTTTTCCAGTTGTCTTATGAGCTTAGCCAGCCTGCTCGTGACCAATCCTGTCTCCTGTCCCCCGCATACCCTTTCTCCTTTTGGATACCGCTTCATCCCTGAGTCCTCAACCTCCGATGAATTGTCATTCTTCAGTTGGTTCTCAAGAAGTCATTAGCCCACCAGTAGTTGTCCGCTGTTGGAAGCCTCTTTCTGCCACTGAGTTATGCCACTCTCTCCAACAGATACGATCTTCACGTATCTCTGCAATCTTGCCGTCTATCAGCCAGTTCTTGTTAAACCTCAATCTCTCCTCCTTTCGTTGTTCCTCATCTTTTGTCCATGATTGCTTGGTCTTCAGCCATCTGCACAGGATCTCGGCTTGTATGATCGTTTTGGTTTCCACCCAAACCTTCTCCCGTGGGTTGGACTGTCTTTCAATTGTTCTTCTGCATCTCTCTTTCCATATGACCCATAGCGTCACCTTCCTGATGAGACCAAACCAGATCTTTTCTGCCTTTCTGAGCTGATCAGGGATGTTAGTCAAGAGGAGAAGTTGGATGGGTTGCTTAGGGAAGGGGGTTGGGAAGAGTGAGTCCCAGAGTGTCGAGGCTCTCGCCCAGTATTCTGTCGCCTCTCTGCAGTGCACTAGGCAGTGCACTATATCTTCAACTTCACCTTCCAAGCAAACTGTGCATATTTATGAACTGTTAGGATCTGAGACCTTTCGTCTAGTGTGTAGCCATTGATTCACTAGTAGTGCTGCATAGACGATTAGCCATTGCAGACTTCTGATCTTAAGTGGCCTGATCAACTTGAATTTTTTCCATTGGATTTGTGTGAGTTTGTCTGCTTCCTGCCCCAATAGGTTCCGCCATCTGTTTTTGATGATAGGGTCAGGGTTCTTGGTTTTTAGAGACTGTTACGATCCTGGTCATTTCCCAAGTGCAAATTCACAATGAAAGACAATGCCACCCAATTGCGAAAGRAATGAAAGCACTTGCAAAGAGATAAAGACCAGAGGAGAGAGAAAGAAGAAGAAGAAGAAGAAGAAGAAGAAGAAGAAAAAGAAGAAGAAGAAGAAGAAGAAGAAGAAGAAGAAGAAAAAGAAGATGTACACCAGCAAGACCAATGACAATTCCCCCTTCTCTCTCCACCTTCCTCCTCCTCCTTCAATTCACCAATCTTATTCTTCTCTCAATAATAATAATAACAATGAATGGATGAACCAGAATCAATATCCGAAGTTCCCTCTTACTGCTGACTCAACTCAACAACAACAACAACAACAACAACAAGTCCACCATAGCTATGGCTTCCCTCCCAGCCTCCTCTCTCATGCATAGGCTATGGCGGACTAATGAGGGCCTTGCCCTGACGTCCAAAGGACAACCCAAAGCAGCTATGGTGCTGCGCTGATGTCCAAAGGACAACCCAAAGCAAATTGCCACTGCTGACTGGTCCACCATGCCTGACTCTGCCTCGGGCTTCCTTGGTGCAACACTACCCCAACTGGGGCCTTCCAGATGGAGCGCCCAACAAGGTGATGAAGATGGTGTCTACCATAGCCAGGTAAGTGCCTCGCCACTCTCCTCTTTAGCCCCCTTCTTCCTCCTCCTCAAGCTGGACTGCTCGCCATAGCCAGGCTGAGCTCCAGCGGCCCTTCACCTCCAAGCAGCGCTGCACCAGACCAGCGCTGCGCTCCAGCAGCATGTCGCCAATCCTTGCACACCGCAAATGAGGAAGAGCTCTTTGCTCTTACTGGAGATATAGCGGCCTACCGGCCTCCTGGGCGGTGACTTCCTAGGCCGAGCGGCCTCCCAGCAACCAGTATCTTCTCCCTTTCGGAGGGAAACATCATTGCAGGCTCTGCTAACCTCCGGACAGGCCCTAGACCCGGGCTACTTGGACTGGTACCGGCCTACCTCTAACCTACCGCTACTGGGCCTCTAAAAATGCCAACTTTTTGTCTTCYTCTGCTCGGCCTCCAGTACCCGACACTTCTACCACTACTTCAGTGGTACCGGCCTACCTGCTACTTGAGTGTTTTTCCCCTCTGCTCTAAGTGTCGCAGGCCTACCCCCGCTACTCGAGTGTTTTCCCCCCTGCAACCCTTCACAGTCACGACCACAGGTAAGTACCGGCCCTACGGGGCCTTGCAACCAACAAGTACCCTTGCCGGTCACACACACACTCAACCGACAAGCACTCAGACAGGCATGCAAACCAGCAGGCACGCACACACACACAGACATGGAAATCACAGCAGAATGCGGGAATTTCAGCAAGGCATTCATTCCAGCGGCAAATCCCAGAAATCAGCAGTGTTCTCAGTCTGTGTTTTTGGCGGGTCATTACACTACCCCCCTCTCAAGAGCGAGGTCCCTTCGAGCGAGTAACTCATTCAGAGTTGGCACAAAATACATCGTAGGAGTAAATCAGAAAGAGAGACTTAATTTAGCAGTCTGTCCCTCAACGATCTGTCGTTCATAAGCGTTCACAACACAGGGAGCATTCTTTAGCAGCTCTTTTCGGTCGATCCAGAAGAATTCAATCAACGGGTGGTAGAGGAAGTGAACCTTGTACTGTCTGTTCCTCCCTCTTCCCTCGTGAGAAACGATTTTGTCTATCTCATGGCCGCCGTCGATAGAGCGAGGTATCATAGGGTCTCTGAAGGAAAAAGTCTCATCATCAATATGTGGGAACAGTTTGGACGCATGAAATACCAGATACGTGGGCAGATGAGGAGGCACGTCAATCACATATGAAGGACCAAAATCATCCCCAATCACCTTCAGAATCTGCCAAGGGCCATAGTACAATGGAAGAAGCTTTCGTGATACGCCCTCTTCATCAGAAAACTCAAACATTTTGACCCAAACATAATCCCCTACTTTGAATTTTGCTTCTTTGCGCAACTTGTTAGCATGTTTTGATCATGGCATGCTGGCGCTTGTTCATGGCTGCAATAACAACTTTGAGCAAGCGTGCGTACTTGGCATTGTAGCCAGGCATGCCGGGCATCAGACCTTCTATTATTTCGATTTGTCCCTCAACTCCTCCAGGCATGCCAGGCAAGCGTGTGTACTTGGCATTGTAGCCAGGCATGCCGGGCAAGCGTGCGTACTTGGCATTATAGCTAGGCGTATTATGCCGATCATGACATCAATCTGTCTCCTCAACTCCTCCAACTCGCCTTGTCCCATACCGTAGATGCAACCCTTTGGAGGAACACTCACTTCTATTATTTCAATTTTGTGTTTGACCGGACGCTCGGGAACTCCACGAGGTTCGGCCAGAACTTCAGGGAATCGATCTAATAGACGGCGAATGTTTGTTGGGACTTCCGGGGGAGGATCATGCTCATCAGGAGAAAGAAAATCAGATCGTGAATTTACAGCAATTACAACTGGATTTGAAGTACTTGGATTAGAAGTAGAGTGATTATTCATAGTAGAAGTAGATGGAATAGAAGTAGAATTACTTACCGAGGTAGAAAATGCAGCAAAAGTAGAAGGCACATGGAGAGGCTTTACACGAGCTACATGTACATGCTCAGCTTCCTTGCGCCTGCGCACTGATTTGCAGAATTTGGTTGCACTTAAAAGAGTCACAGGGGACTCGCATGTCTCGTCCAATAGAACGGTACGCTTGTTCCCCTTGGCATCACGCACCACGAACTGATTATCCGCCCACGTGGTTCTTAGGCAATGAGCCTTTAGCCAGCCCAAGCCAATGACCGCGTCGAACGGACACTTGTCCATGACATAAAAGTTCAGCTCATGTGTGACAGTGCTGTCCTTGTCAAAGGTGACACGCATACCGCGTGTCACCTTTGACAACATGTGTGGAGGTGACAACCGTTTGGTTGCCCACCTGTGTCCGACAAGGGTTCTGCAATTCCACTTGTTTCATTCCCAGACCCGCCTTACGAATCCCGTTAGGAGAAAAGAAATTGGTGGTTGAACCACTATCAATCAGCACACGGATGTATCGGCGGTTAATGAGCAATTTAAAGAAGGTTAGCTCCGCACTCCCTTGAACACGGCGTTGCTGCTTGAGCTGCAACCAATGTTCCAGGTGAGCGTGGAAGTCAACTTCCTTAGACTCCTCCCAAGGCTCAATGTATAGCACATGAACTGTAGCAACCTTGGATTCAATGTCGTTCCGGGCTTCAGGGGCAGGCTGTTGATCAGATTCAGACTCCTTGGAGGGGCCTGCAACTGACGCTTCAACTTCCCTTATTGTAGACAGTGCTGATGACTCTTCTACGCCCTCTGCCTGTTTCCCTGCAGACGGTAACAGTCCTGCACAGCATGCCCAAACTTTTGACAATGCAAGCATACACGCAGTCTGGATCTTCTTTCCCATTCTTTCTGACTGATACGGAGGGCTTCCCAAGGCTTGCTAGAAGCGTCCTCCGGTTTCTCAGGGATTTTCGCATTCTTGGGGAGGTGTGCAATAGTTCCCCTACCCGAACCACGGTTAGGCCCCTTAGTTGAAGCAGTCCTTTTGAAAGCATTAAGTTTTTCATCTTCGCTCACGTCAGACCCAATGGCTGATGTAGAACAGCCCATATCGGAGTCCGGCTCTAGATCGTCATCTAGAGACAAATCATCCGCGTAGGACTGATCTTCAGCCTCCCGATGTTCATGCCGGGCAAGCTGGTTGCTGCTTCCATGCCGCTTGCATTGTGGTTTTCCACCTGCAGGGGGCGTCTTCTTACGCCTGGCGAGGTCCTTGGCCTCTAGGTTGACTAGATCCGTCATGAGCTCTCGCCAGGTGGTATGGTCTTTGAGTGCTAACAGGGAGAGGTATTCTTTAGGGGCCACTCCCATGACTACATCCATGCAAGACATGTCGGTCATTCTCAGGTCTGGAGTGGTGAACAAACCAGTCAAGTGTTGTTCCAAAGCCTGCATGGAGGACCTCCATGTTTGGCCCTTGAGGGCCTCAAGCTTCAGCCTTGCCTTGAGCGCAGCATGCTTATCTTGGTACCGTGTGATGAGAAGGTCCTCTAGGGTGCGTACAGGAGTTACTTCCAGCCACTCAGTCAGGTCAATTCTCTGATAACCTGCAGTAACAGTTTGGAGCTCAATGTGATTCCGTACGGCGGGCTCAGTATTAGTGCCCATGATCATGCTTCGGCCTTCCTGCGGTGTCCCCATAACCTCGAAGTATGAGCGCATGGAACTAATCCAAGAGGTGATATCCGCTTTCCCGTCGTACTTGGACGGCAAAGTGGCCGCCCGCTTGTCCACTTCGGGACCGCTGTACTATACGCCAGTAAGGACTGTGGCGTATTGGGCTGTTGTCCCTGCATTTGGGACTATGACTAGTGCTGAACTGTCGGCGCTGCCGCTTGAGGAGCTGGCACCGGTTCCTGCGCTCGTCGCAGTTCCTCTTGCTCTTGCCATGAGGACTGTGTTAGATTGAGAGACTGGGGCTGCAGCAGGTCGAGGGTAAGGAGGACGAGGGGGAAGACAGTTGGGACTGTTTAAGGTTGAGTATCTCAGCCTGCAGCTCTTGGTTCCGCTGCTCCAGTGCTGTCACACGGGACTCAAGGTCTTCCAAGGTCGGCAATCGAACCAAGGCTGCTACGGCAGCAGCTAACCTTTCTTGGAACCGGTCAGCATTAGCTTCCGGGACCTGAAGGAGGGCCACCTGATCAGCAATGCGGGTGGCTCTGGCTGCTGCCTCTGCCTCTCTCTCCCTCTGCACGGCATCGTCATAAAGCTTTTGGAAGAACGGTTTCTCGTTCTCGTCCGCTGTGTCCAGCATGGCCTGCCATTGGGCAGATGTGATGTCCGCCATGCCGGAGGAAGGGGTGTTAGTAGATCTCTAAAGAGGGGTCCGCTTTCTCCTCACGTTTGGACGAACACTCCTCTTGCCCTTCCTCGCACTCTCAAACAGAACACCTTCTCTCTCCCTTCTCTCTCTTCCCGCTGCGCACGTGTCTCAATACCGGACATAGATAGTTCATATGAAAGAAACAATCAGTAAATCACACAGAGTAGAAGGTAGAACTCCTAGCCGGAGCGACAATTCATTTGGATTTGGAGAATGGCACGCACCAGAAGAAAAATAATAATAATAATAAAACAAAAGAGAGGACTGACTTATCGAATGGGCCCGATCAGCTTAGCTGGAGATCCCCTCTTGTCTAACCTGACAAGGTACAGGTACCACAGTAAATCAGCCGAAGAAAACTAACTGCAGCAATGGAGATTTCGAGGGGTGCAGATGGTCGCCGAATCAGACGCGGGGCAGTATGTGATAACATGTAGTAAGACCAGTCAAGATCCCCTTGAAAGAAATGCCCTTGCTAGCCGTATGTCCCCCAAGTTCAGCACAGCAAAGAGATGCACAAGCGGCAACAGATTTGGGCCCGAAAGGTCCTGTCCCGTTGGGCCTGGTCCCACTGAGTCCCGAAGGTCCCAAGTAGGTCGTGGACCAGGAGCAACGAGATAGGAGTACCAAGTCAGTCCCAAATTGCCTCTACCGTACTGAAAAGGAAAAGACAACTTTCAACAAGAACTTACCCCTACAGCCATTCTGAAATGAAAAGACATTGCACCGTAGAAAGATATGTCATTTAGAACAGATACATCATCCATCCATCCATCAGGTGAGAAAGCAATCCACATGCTCACACACACAGCCAAGACCGCAAAGAAGAGGAAGAGAGCCCAACACACCCCAACAGGCCATGAAGCACCAAGCAACCTCCCACGGGCTAACCAGGTCACTCGACACTTACCTGTGAGGCCCAGCCTCCAAAGATGGATAATGACTCACCCCCCTCTCTCATAAGTCCTCCTGACCCCTAGCTACCACTACACGAAGTGTCCTAGCATGACTAAGAGGGCCTTCCTACACCCCTATTGCAAAGCAGGATCCCCCGTCAATGTCTGAAGACCAAAGTAGCAACTTGCAGCAATTCGATGCAGATATGGCAGCCTCCGATCAAGTCTCCCTCTTGAGGGGAAGCCCAAAAGTCACTCAATGTCTTCTTGAAGTGCAGATTCCAGGTGCGAGTACCTCTCACTCTCTACTCCCTCTCGCTTACTCCAATCAGCCTCCTTTGTGTCTCGCCACCCCATCCAATCACTCAAACAATCTGGTCAGGTCTGATGTCGACCCTACATGACCTAACCAGGTGGGGGCAGTATCCACATACCTCACTGCCCCTCTTAACCCTAACTTCCTAACCCTAATTCGACATTAGGTTAGCCTTAACCTAATTCGGAATTAGGTTTAGGGTGACGAACACCTCTCGCCAGCAAGTAAGTCCGCTCCGATACCAATTGTTACGATCCTGGTCATTTCCCAAGTGCAAATTCACAATGAAAGACAATGCCACCCAATTGCGAAAGAAATGAAAGCACTTGCAAAGAAATAAAGACCAAAGGAGAGAGGAAGAAGAAGAAGAAGAAGAAGAAGAAGAAGAAGAAGAAGAAGAAGAAGAAGAAGAAGATGTACACCAGCAAGACCAATGACAATTCCCCCTTCT